ATACTCACAGCATTCCAAGGCCAAAACAGGAGGATATTTTTGTGATAACTGTCTACAGTTTTTCACACTCAACAATACTACCCACAGCAAACTTGAATGCGGAAAAGTGGACTCGTTCTACCCTGAACCAAATACTACAACTGCATACAAGGGCTTTCACAAAAAATTATCTCCTCCGGTGGTGATATATGTCGATATTGAGGCTGTTCCTGAAAACTATAGAACATGTCTAAATTCTTTAACTTCCTCAACAACAAAAGTGCAGAAGCATACTGCATGTGCCGTATCACATAATATAGCACATAAATTTAATCCTGATCTTAACGAATTGTGGGCGTATGAAGGTATGTAAAAAACAACAAATTAATTTATTACTAATTTAAAAACTAATTAAAATGATGTAAAATTTTATATGCGCTGACTGCATACAAAAATTCTGCAAATCACTCAAGGAAAAAACTACGACCTTGTTTTACATCTACTGGTCGATCCACAAAAACCCGAGTGCTAACACAATACATGCCCAAAAACAGGAAGGCAACTGCTGTGCCTATGAGCTTTATATAGCGCTAACGCAGACAATTCAAATAAATGCCTCAAATAGATATAAAACAAGATACATCAATTCGATTAGATTTTTAAATTCAAGTTCTAAGTACTAAATTTGAGGCAGAAAAATGTAAGAAAATGCGTAGGAAGGGTTCTATCCCTTACGACTATTTAGATAGTTTTGAAAAATTTAAGGATACCCAGCATCCTGACATTGATAGTTTTAGAATTCTCTCAGGGAAGAAAATTGTAGTATAGATGATTACAATGTTGCCCAAAAGGTTTGGAAAACTTTCAATTGTAATACCATAAAAGATTATATAAATCTTTATTTAGAAAATGATGTATTAATTTTGACCGATGTTTTTGAAAAATTTGTCAGAAAATTTATAAGGTAGACCCTATTAAATATGTTACAGCACCATCAATATGTTGTGATGCTATGCTCAAGTATAATAAAGTACATTTAGAACTTGTTAACGACGGAGACACGTACAATTTTTTTAAAAAAGCGATACGAGGTTAGTTAACTCAATGTACCCAAAGAACTTCTATAGCTGTTAAAAAATACATAACTAACTTTGATTCAAGTAAACCAAATAACTTTCTGAGCTATATTGATGCAAGTAATTTGTATGGTTGGGCAATGAGTAAGCCCTTACCGCTTTTAGGATTTATATTTTTAAGTTATAATCAACTAGAATCGTTCGATTATAAAAATATTTCTGTTGAGGGAAATGTAGGATACATATAAAAAGATGATTTAGAATACCCTATTGATCGGCATTACTCACATAACTACTTGCCTTTCTGTCCAGAAAACAAAGTTCCTCCAGGAGGTAAACAGAAAAAAACTTATAACTCATTTAACGAATAAAAGCGAATACATTATCCATTTAAAACAGCTTTAACTTTGTATACAGCATGGTTTAACTGTAAAAAAATACATAGGGTTTTGCCTTTTACACAATCATTCTGGTTAAAGCCTTATATTGTTTTAAACACTGATAAAAAAAAACTAGACGAAAATGATTTTGGAAAAATTTTTTTTAAGTTATTGAATAATGCCAAGCGAAGAAATATAGTATTAGTAAAACATTATAAATCAAGACAAAATTCGGCAGGCTTTAGGCAACGCATAGCTAGACATGATTTCCATATCGTTGAGAGATTCGGAACAGATTTTGCAGCGATTGAATCAACGCCATCAAAAATTATGTATCATAAACCAATATACATAGGAGTGGCTGTTTTATAATTATTTAAATGGTTAATGTATGCATTTTATTATAATTTTCAATTACTCCATCTTCGAAAATAATCTATATGGATACAGATTCATTTATTTTATCTTCAGAGAAAGACTTTTAAGAAACTATGAAAGAAAATACCGAACGATTCGATTCCTCAAATTATAAACTAGAAAATCAATTTAATATAGTTCAAGCTAATAATAGGGGTTCTAGAAAAATGAAGGATGAACATTCAGGTAGGGTTATGACTTCTTTTGCTGGACCTAAGGCTAAGGCATACTCTTTTTTAGTTGTTGGCGAAGGAAATAAAAACGAATGTATAAAAAAATTAAAGGAATTAAGAAATCGGTTATTAAAAAACTGAATCATGAAGATTATATAGAATGTTTAAAATATAAAAAAAACATTTTATGGAGCTCAGCAAGTTATTCGAAGTAGGTCGCACATCCTCTATACTGAAATTATGAACAAAATAAGTCTTAAATATAAGTATGATAAAAGATATATTTTACCAGATAATTGTAATACATTGGTTCATGGTCATTATATTATTGAATATACATTAAGTAGTGTAGTAGGATAAGTGACTTGCTATAAGTATAATTAAGTGTAACTCTGCTATGAATAGATATATGAAAGTATAACTCTTTGGTGTAAATGTATAGCAACAAGTATTTGAATGTAACGGCTAGCTGTTTAATAGTCGTTAGCATCTAAAAGTTTCTCCTATTGTAAAGTGGCCAACCTGGCAACTCTGCTAAAATATTAAGTATCGATATTGATCGCAACCAACTTCAAGTAATCGAATGTAAAACCGACGCTGTGTTAGACCGGGCAATTGCGAATAAGAAGTGAAGGTGACGGTCAAGTTTCAATAAAGTGTTTTAAAAGATATAGCAGTTTAAACTACTATAGTAGTAACCAAAATTAAACCCATTATTTAAAAAATGTTTATATATTTATATTATAAAAATATAAATTTGTAAATAAATATTTAAAAAAAATAAATTGGTTATTGTTACATTTTATTACTTAATTATAACAGTAGAATTTAGCGATTCTCAAAACGAGGTTGAGATTGACAACCTGGGTTTAGAACCTACGCAAGATTCTGATGTTGAAATAATTGTAAACTCGGATCTGGACCTTGTGCAGGTTTCCGAATCAGAAGATTCGGTTAATCGCCTCCTACGAAGCGTATTTCAATCGGCTGCATCATCGACCCAAAATAGGGACCCAGGGTTGGAGTCTCTTGAGTGGCGCCAGTTTCTATTAGGGACTACCACGCATGCTTTTTTTTGAATCCCTTATCACACACGATGAAAGCGAAGATGATTATCAGTGTGCACAGGAATTTCAATTGGACGACGACCTATCCAGGCCAAAAGATTTTGTTTTTCCTAACCATTATTTAACTTTTCTGGATGATGGAGATGACAACGCTTTACTAGATGTTTTATTTGATCTAGATTCTGTTAGCAGTAGGTTAATAGAATAATGTGTATGCCGATGACTATTTAGTATTAATATCATTTACATGCTAACTTCCGCACTTATGTACCAGTCGCGATGTTCCGATCCAACGTAAAACTAAGTTAAGCTAATATGTTAAGCTAAGGATATTGTAAAAGATCGGAGAATGGTCACACACAGCGATACAAGAGAGACTAGCGAGCACATGTGAAAATCGAAGGCAATAGAAAGAGACGAATAAAAAGTGAATATAGAACTGCGACAACAACTTCAGAAGTGGGATAAACACCTTTTAAACACCCGCCTACGTAAACATTTCTGGTTATCCGAGAACACACAGTTTTTCCCTTACAATTGCGATCGCGTACGACGCCTAGAGGTGGAGAAACATCGATGCTAACATCGATGTCATCGATGTTTTCGAAACATCGCTAACATCGGTGTTTGGCAGAGAATCATCGATGAAATAATTCATTAATATATTTTTCCGATATTTATTGTAGAAATGATCCTATTTTAGATGACTACCGATGGTGAAGCATTTAAGACATTGGTCAAAAAGTTTTTGTGCGTTCCCGCATCTTCGTGTGAATCGGAAAGGGTTTTCAGCAAAGCTGGCCAACTAATCAGCGACCGTCGCACACGGTTATCATCGACCGTTGTCGATAAAATTTTGTTCTTAAACAAGAACATACATTTAAATATAATAGAATATTGGGCTTTCTTTTCAGTATTATTATTATTTCACACATTAACGATCTCACATGAATTTATCTTTTTGTTAAATATTTTTAATTTCAAAAACTACTAAGTAATTAATAATTATGTAAAAAAAACATAATAAACAAGGAAGAACGCTATAGTCGATTACCTCGACTATCAGATACCCGTTACTCAGATAACAAACTTTAAAATAAGTTAGCCGCGCACTTTGTTCTCTCTCCCTTGCTCTCATTTCTCGGCTCTGCTTTTGTTTCAGCCAGCGCCAAGAATGAGAAAGCAACACATAAAATAGACAAAAAACATTTATATTTATGTATGCTTGCTAAACATACACAATTTTAAGGCACATTCTGTAATTCAAAATATTTGGTTGAATAGCTTTGTTTGAAAGAATACTATTTGCCGCGGATATTAGATCGCAATTTTTTACATCCACACATGCATAATCACATAAATGTATGTATGTATGTATGTATGTCGTTTTCTGGCTCTAGTGTCAAGGCTTCCCAGTCGTAAGTTGCGGAACGTGTTTTAAAAAAACATAGTTCTGGGTCGTACCTTTTTTACGCAAAACAGCACGCATGCAAATTTTCCAAGACAAATGTGCGTGCTGGGTGCATTCTATTGCGGTGCCTTCTAGAAGTGTTTCAGAATAATGCATCCAGAAGCATGCCCAAACACCCGTTTCGGGAACGTATTCCGAAAGAAATAGTTCTGGGTCGTATCTTTTTTACGCAAAACAGCACGCATGCAAATTTACCCAGCAAAATGTGCGTGCTGGGGGCAGTCTTTTGGGTGCCATCTGGGTGTATTTCAATATAGTGCATCCAGGTGCATTTTAGTGGGAATGTAAAAAAACCAAACTCAAACCCGAAGGTTGCCGATGCGCATTTTTTTTACAATCGTCTTTTTTCGGAACTGTTCTTTTGACAAACAAATAATAAAGACAAAAGGGAACATGCAAGGAAGCGAGCGGTTTTTCTCGTCTCTTTCATTTCTCGTCAGTTGCATTTTTAGTTCTGAAAAGTGAAGTTCGTGCCACGTGTTTTGAAAAAGTGTGTTGCTTTCTGCCACCAATTTTACATCAATATTTTCACAGGTAAGTAAAGTGTAGATAATTTAGTTCAATATGAACACAATAAAATAACACAGTACATGTACACTGAACATTCAAACTAAAAACATATTAAACAAATAAAATAATAACTATTTGTATGTAAATTGTACATACAAAATAAACATATTGTATATTTGTAATGTATATACACATATTTCATATTCAATTTGCTTTATATTTTTCAGAATCGCAAAAAATGAATGGGCACACCAAGGACTGAACTGCGTAAATGACAAAAGTACATAAACAAGAAGGAAGCACCAAAGCACCGTACAGAAGGGGAGTTACTCCGATTAAAAATTAGTTGCGTTTTTGAATATTGAAATGAAAATAAATATGAAATTGAAATCCAGTTTTATGTATTCCTGGGGAAAACTTCCAGATATTTCGTTTTTGAATGCGTCTAGGTGCATTCCTGGGTACATGTTACAGGTGCATTAAAAAAGAGTACACCCAGAATGTGTTTAGTTTGTTACTTCCAGGTGCATTCCAGATATATGCTTCCAGAAGCATGCAACGGGTGCATTCTTTTTTGTCCCGCACCCGTGTAAAAAGAATGGACAGACTCATCACTTCCGGAACACCTTTTTGATGCCATTTTTTAATGAAAGAACGCGTGCTGGAATGCTGTCATTTACGACTGGGAAAGAACGCGTGCTGGAATGCTGTCATTTACGACTGGGTTGTCCTAACTACTTTGGTTTAAGAGCATTGGACTGAAAACGGAAAAGTTTTTTTGGGACAATCTATAGGTATTTATTAAGCTAATTCATATTCTTTGAAAGAGATAAATAAAGATGTACAGATCTTTAAAGGTTTTTGCCCGTCAATGGGACAAATGGATAAAGGGTTCATTATTCAATAGAACAAGTTAGCCGCGCACTTTGCTCTCTGTGAGTGCCGGCAGGGCTTTTTTCTTTGCCGCTAAGTTCGGCCGGCAACTATTTACATACACACACATACACGCGTAAAAACATTTCGCATTGTCTGGCTCTGACGTCATAGCTTTTTTCTTTGGAGGTTTGTGGGCGTTAGAGTGGGCGTAGCAAAATATCGATCGATAGGTATTGACAAGACTAATACATTTCAGTTAAAATTTTCTATCTAGCATCAAAACTGTAGGAGTTACAGTTTAGGGCGGTTTGTGGGCGTTAGAGTGGGCGTGGCAGTCTACTGAAACAAACTTGCGCTGCGTAAGAAGCTCAGGAATCTGTACACCAAATCTCAATAGCCTAGCTCCCATAGTTTCCGAGATCTCAGCGTTCATCCGGACAGACGGACAGACGGACATGGCTAGATCGACTCGGCTAGTGATCCTGATCAAGAGCATATATACTTTATAAGGTCGGAAAGGCTTCTTTCTACCATACTTTCCGAATAATCTAGTATACCCTTTACTCGACGAGTAACGGAATTTGGAACCATATAGTCCTTGAGATTCCTTAGCTTTTGATATATCATTCAAAATCACCCCTTATCGGGGTTCAACAAGTGACTATAGTTCTGATATCAACTTATGTGACGAAAAATGATTTTAAATTCAGAGTGGCTAGCTGATTTAATGATTGTATACATATAAACCAAATTATATGGGGGCGTGTTCTGTGATGGTTTTTACAAAAGCCAAAATGATTTTAGTGAACATTTTTTCAAGCTCCGGAAATAGTCTGGTTATGGTAAGTCGAATCTCGACTTGAACACGGGTGCCACGGAAATCTCTTCGGGCGGTATTCGGGAAAAACATCCAGTGTGCCAAAAAGTTAAAAAATTCAATGTAGAGTGTCATGACTTTCCATTTATTCGAACTTGGGGGTACCATATCTAAAAAGTTTCATTTTTGTACTGGTTTCCCACAGTTCATATCAATTTTTCTTTAGTCGTTTTACTCCAACATAAAACCCGAAATTTTACGCAGTGATAATTTTTACAAAAACAAAAATTATTTTAGTGAACATTTTTTCAAGCTCGGAAAATCAGTCAGGATATGGTAAGTTGAAAGTTCGACATGAACGCGGAAGACACGGAAATCTCTTCGGGCGGAATTCGGGAGAAACATGTAGTGTGCAAGAAAGTTTACATATTCAGTGTAGAGCGCCATGACTTTCCATTCATTTGAACTTGGGGGTGCCATGTCTAGATGCTTTCATTATTGTACTGGTTTCCCAACAGTTTATATCAATTTTTCCTTGGAGGAGAAAACTCGAAAAGATGCTTTAACCAACTTGAATGTAGTATCCAGCCCTTCTTTCCTTGTTTAACCCTCATAACGAAGCAGAGCTGCATACCGACGTAAGTTATCATGGATTGGGAGCCGTGTTGGTGCAACGCCAAAGTGATGGAAAGCTACATCCAGTCTTCTTTTATTCCCGTAGAGCAACTACTGCTGAATCTCGTTATCATTGTTTTGAGCTTGAGACTTGCGATAATATATTCCCTCCCAGTGGCTCAATGTGGTTACGGCCGAATTTGGTAATAAAGACAAAATGCATCGACGAAGGTAAGTTCGTAATCGATCGTTTCCCTAGTTTTGGAACATAGGATTAAAATGAGGCATTGTTTTCTTTTTTCGCTCTCCCCCTTATTTGCTTCGCTGCTTTCGCTGGCCGTACAAGCGAAAGAGCGATAACTCTATCGCCTATCGTTTAGTAGTTAATTCTGGACTTACATTATAAAAGTAAGTCTTTACTTTAGAGGGCAAGACTTATAATGTAAATAAAGCGAAATTTGGCTTCCGTATTAATACGGTCAGTGACATTGTCCAAAGATTTAAGAAGGAGAAAAGAGTGGAGTCAATCAAGCAAAAAGGACAACCAAAAAAATAAAATGATCACGAAGAAGCCGAAATAGTCCGAAAAGTTAAGATAAATCCTCGACTTCGTGCTTTAGAATTGAAGGCCGAAATCTTTGCCGACGACGGGAAGACCGTTTCAGCGCAAACCGTTCGTCGTCCTATAAAAAAACATGGGTGGTACGGCAGAGTCTCTAGAAAGAAGACTTTGCTGGCTGAGCGAACCGGAAATTAAGGGAGTACAAGACTACCAAAGCTGTTGGGACGATGTTATTTTCTTGGACGAAAGCAAATTTAACCATTTCGGCAAGACTATGGTTTGTTGGAAACCAAATACCGAGCTCAAGAAAAAACTTTTAGACCAACAGCGAAACACTGCGGGGGAAGTGTGATGACTTGGGGATGAATTTCCACAAAAGGAGTGGAAAATCTGGTATTTATTGATGAACCAGGACCAGTACCTAAAAATTTTGAAAGAAAATTTGAAGCAGTTTGCCTAGAAAATGGTCATTGCCAACACTTTTAAGTTGTATCAGCACAACGACACGATGCACAGGGCCCATAAAGTAAAGGTCCGGGTTGCTGCATAACTGCCCAAACGCTTTGAAACGCCTCCCCAATGCACAGTGATCGCTGCCATAGGTCAAAATTTTTTTTTTTTTTTTAAATATTAAGTTACTTCCTTCCGTGAAGAGGGAAGAATTATTTGGCCGCCCCGTTGGAACGGGTTAACGCCACTGCCAATGTATGAAATTAAATTTCAAGAAAAACAAAATTTAATGGACAGCTATGTAAATAGCGTGCAGTAGTTTCTGGTGATGTTATGATGACGATGAACGATGAGCGATGACGATGAACGATAAGCGATGAAAATGTTATCAATGTGTGTGAGAAATTTTAATTTTAAGATTTTGTGAGTTGGTATAAGCGTGAATGGTGTTATAGTGTATTAAATGAGCAGTGTGGAGTGTGTTGTATTAGATATTAATATTAGCAGCTCGAATGAAACTGGTAATCGATGTCCAATTTTCAATTGGTTCATTTCCAAGTAAACGATAGATATCGTTATATTTAAGTAGTGGTGTATATTTTGAGCAATTTAACAAAATATGCGAAATGTCTTCATTAACGTTGCACGAATCGCATAGGGCGTTATCGTAAACTTTCATTTTGGAAAGTGTGTATTTGTCAAAAGCATGTCCGCTTAAGATTCTGTTTAGAGTCTTCGTTTCTATACGGTTGAATAGGTCTTCTTTGTTTTTAAACCAAGGCTTGGAAGTGGTATATGGTGAGAGGAGAGAGTAACCCTTGTTACGCTCTAATGAAAACAGACTGTATTCACGCTCCCAGTCTTGTTTTATTTGCGCGAACATATGATTGATTGCGTCCTTAAGGGTCCATCTGACGGGTGCGAAAGAGCCGTTAATTCTAGAATTTTTAGCCGCTGTATCTGCGAGATCGTTTTCCCAAATATTGGAATGGCTTGGAATGTGGTGAAATTCTATGGATAGCAGGGTTGGATTGTTTATGACTTTTTTCAGAATGCATTGAGAGATGCAGTTTTTGGAGTTCGTGTTCTTTATTGTCTGGATGGCACCAAGACTGTCAGTTAAAATTGCTATTTTGGAGAACTTCTTTGAAATACCGAAGTCAATGGCTTTTTCTAGGGCTGTGAGTTCAGCAGTCAGCGACGATAGTTTTTTGTCGGTGTAGAAACTTTTTATCGAATTGGAATTTAAGTGAACAAAGGCACTGCCTGTAAAATTTTCCGACACAGAACCATCCGTGAAGATGATTTCCATATTTTTTGAGGTTAAACCTCTTATTTTTTCTTTAAATAAAGAGAGAATTATAGTCTCGTTTGCCATTTTTTTATTCGTACAAGTACCTTTAAAGAAATTTGTGTCAACTGAAATCTTTCGTGTGGACAGAGAATAAGGACAAATAGGAGCAATACTATCCAGGATATTTTTAAATTCAGCATAAATTCTACTGTAACTAGTATTTTTGGCTACAAAGGAGTTTGACAGAAGCGACGCAGATGGTAGACCATGAGCGAACGTTTTGGCCAACTCCTTCGCTGTAGCGAATTTAATCCTATAAGCTGGAGGAAGTTCAGCTGCAAGATTATAAATAATATTAATTGGAGTCGATTTAATAAGTCCTAAGGCCTTTCTAAGGTGGAAATTAGCATGCTTATTTATGTTGTTTTGTACTGATTTTGATATGTTTGAAAAAGAGGAGCAGGCGTATTCATATCTAGTTCTAATAAATGCTTTATAAAAAAGTAGTGACTTGCTTGGATGTACTCCGAAGCGGCAGCCACTGAGCATTTGAATAAACATATTCGTTTGATTCGATTTAGAGATCGTTTTATTTACATGCTGAACAGACGAGTTGTTTGAACTTATGACTCTACCTAAATAATTTATGCTATTTACATTTTTTAAAATAATATTATTGCACAAGATACTTAAAGGTTTTTTCCTTAGATTAAAATGAATGGTGGCTGATTTGTCTGGATTAAAAGTAAGATTATTAATATTGCACAGTTCCATAAATCT